CTTAGTCACTAACAAACATAAGTTGTTGGGATTTGGTGCTGAACAAATGTGGAGGTTATTTCGTCTTCACCATTTCTGGCTGATTATGGTAACTAAAGATTGTGGTGTTTAATTGGATGCTGTGCTCAAGGTGTAGTCTGCTGCAGTAACGTTGGCTGGGTAACAGCCTCTGGTTAAAACCAACCAAATTATATTGTTTTCTTACAGTCTGCAGTAAATGCAGTAATAATTTGAAACTCGTGTTTGAAAATATGTTTCAAACCCTTGAAATAATTCTGCCATCTACAAAACAAGGTTGAACAAGGTCGGATCAATGAGCATGTGCTTCTTACTGCGTTTTAAAATGTACCTTACTCTCTTCAAATAGATTTTTCTAGAGAAGCCTGTCTGTTTCCTAGGTCATCTCTGTTTTCTTTACACTTTTAAATGCAGGCTGGGAGGTTACCTAGCTGTTTGCAGGTGAGCTTATAGCGCTGTTTATAACTTTGCCAAATGTAAATAGGTGGTATGAAATTTTCAGTGTTGCTGTTTCCCTTGGCAGAATGCCTGTAAGAGACTCTGCACTTTTTTGGGTTTTCATTTCAACCAAAGTGTTGCAGCATCAGTTTTAAGACTTAAACAAAAATTAACTATTAAAACCCCAAAGGCCTGGAGACCTGTCTCTTACGTTCTCCAACCTGCCTGTGCTCTGGAACGGGGACTTAAATTTTATCAGATCCAGCTGTTAGTCATCCTAGTGACAAGCTGTTCCGTTTCAGACAAAAAGCCTTCAAAATGTTGAAGTTCGCAGACGCTCGCTAGAGCCTTCAAAAATACTCCGGTAGCTGATTAATTTGGTGATGTTCTGCTCCAGCTCGGGCTTCAGCGTGAGTTTCCATGTAGCTGCTGTGGGTCCTCAGATCTTGAGATGGCATCTTCTGAACTCTCAGCGCTCCTGTGCTGTTTGACCAGAGGAGTTTGATCTAAATTCAGAAGCGGGTGAGGGGAAGTGGTAGGAGTGGGCAGGGGGAAGGTTGGGGCTGAGTGACGGGAAAGAATGAGCCTTGCTGATGTGATGGTCAGGAGGTGTCTCCCCATGAACACCTGGGGTGTAACCCAGGTCCTGAGTTCATCTGAACCCATTCATTTGCTGTTGGTGCTTGTTAATACATCTTTCCTTCCTCCTCTTCTGCTCTTCCTAATATTGCTCCGTAGGCAGGGTCAAAGCCTCCTGTGTCTCACCAGGCATTGAAAGCCGTGTCTTCTACAGGGCCTATGCTGGCAGAAGCGTTTCTTCTGTGGCAAATACATACAGCTTAACCCTTCTGCCAGAGGAGTAAGGGTCAGGAGCCTTACAAGTGGGATTCCCCATAGCTGTAAGGGTCTGCACTCTGTTAACTCTACGGCCCAAGTCTTTGGGGTGGATCTACAGACTTTGGGGGGAAACAGGCAGGTAGAAAACCCCATGAGGTTCAGCGTGTGGTGCCAGGTGATGAGTCTTAATTTTTCCGGTTTGCCTTTTCTTCTCCCCCTCGTTATTTAGCTAAGGAAGGTTCGCTGCATGATCTTGGTTCTCCTCTGCAATCTGTGGGTGCTGTTGTACGGTCCTGTTTGTGGCAATGGTACACGGGCCACTGCTGACCCGCCAGAGCGACTCTGCTGTCCATCAGGCTTCGGCTGGGGTGATGGATCAGTGCTGGCAATCCCTTGTCCCAGATCTGTTCAGGAGGTCGGAGGGAGTCGGCAGTAGGCAGGGAGAACACTAACCTGTTGGAGGTCTTGATAAGTGACTGCTCTCAAGTGCTGCGGTTAGAAGAGGTGTCTTTGCAGGAAAATGTGTGTCACGTACTGAAGGGGTGGTCTGAAGCACGTGTCAAAAGTTGCCTGTCGCCTGTGTGCTTCCAAGATACCCCCGTAGGAGACAGCTACTGGGACTCGGCTGCACAAATTGTTCCAGGATTGACAGTCTGCTGCTGGCCACCTCTTTTCTCGTGGCAACTCTAGAATGTGCAGGGCATCAGCCACACGTGGGCCTTTGGCTTGAGCTCATCCATGGTAAACCCAGTGCTCCTGGAGCTCCTGGGGCTCGAGTATGTGCACATATGCCGTAGGGCTTGTCCTCTAATAGAGAAGGGCCATGGTATGTAGTTCTTCTTTGGTCCTGCACGCACAAATTTGAGATCTACATAATATGTTGTGTGCTGCTTAATCCAGTTATATGCCCAAATGGGGGGGAAAAAAAAGGAAGTTAAACAACAGACGACCTATATGTTGAAGTGTAACGTTCTGGCTTGTGATGATATCCACATCAAGTGGCGAATATCTGGGCGGAAATGTCTTTTGCACTCTTTGTTTCTCTGGCCTCCTTCATTCATCTTGCTGTCGTGAGCTGTGGCCTGTGAGCTTTTAACGTAAAACCTGTGCGTTGTAGTTTCATTTTGCTGAGCAGTTCCAGTTATTTTAAGTTTGAGATTCAGGTTCATCTTTGTTTGAAGATTGTTCTATCAGTATATATTTGAAGAGCTTTATTTTACCGTTCAATAACTGTTAGTACCTTGGAGCTCTGTAAATCTTCTACTATGAGGGGAAAAAAATGACTGCACAAGGTGGTGTGTTGATATAAATTGGCATTCCTCTACAGAATTGTAAGTTAGTCATAGTTCCTTAAATGAGATAAAATAGCCTGTGAAGTACTGCCTCTGTGCTTTTCAGAATCTGTGCAGAATGACTTTAGTGAGATGGTAGAAATAACTTCATTTAAAAAGAAATTCTCTTGCATAGCAGTTCATCCTTCTAAAATCCTGCTCGTTTAGGCGCCCAGAGATACGCTGTTTTAAGTTGAGTATTTAAAACAATGCTTTGTTTGGCTTGTTAGCTGAAGGAGCAGTTCTAAAGTGCTGAAAACACGAACTGTTGAGAAGTGAAGTACGTATACAGAGGGATTTACTGCAGCAAAGCTGAGTAACAGCTCCTTTGTAGGCACTCGTGGCCGCGGGAGCGGAGCCGACGCTCCGAGCTGCGTGCCGAAGCGCCGTCTGCCATCCACGGGGATTGGGCTGCGTAGGAACGAGTTTACGTAGCTACTGTTTGGATTGTGGCAGCAAGTGAACTGTAGTGAACATCAGAGAAAATCCAGATACTTAAGGGACCGTCTCGTGTTTTGCATTAAGCAACTGTTGGGTAAAATATGGAAACTCTCCTTGAAGTAGCTGCCAGGTCCAGAATTTGGCATTTTCCAGGAGGATGTCCCCTTGACTTGTGCTTGCTGTAGCTTCCTCGCCTCGGCTCCAGGGGTCTGGCAGTCCTTAGGGTGAGCTCGAGGAGCGTGTCTTCGTTTGACAAGCAAACCTACATCTCTGACATAGTCCTCAAATGCTGTCAAACGCAGCGTTGTCTGTGTGTTTGTTGGGCTTTGAACGCAGCTGCCCGAAAGGCTCCCGTGGGGAAGCTGGTCACAGGACGCTGGCTTTGCAAATCCCCCGCCTTGCCTGGGTGTTTACATGGATTGTAGCGAGTATGACTGTGTGCAAGACAGTTTTTGCTGTCTTGGGAACTTGAGGGAGAAAATGTAGGTTTGAGAGACTTTGTCTGTGGAGCTAAACGTGTTTTTTGTTTGTTTTTTTTTTTTTTCCCCTCAATCATGTGTTTTGACTGAAAGGCCTAGCGTAATGGAGACTTGTATTGGCATGTAACCCTGCTGTGAATTTAAGCATAAATGTCCTTAATGGTGAGTTTCTCTTTTGTTCCGTTTCAATCTCTACCCTGGAGATCAGGGTCGGCTGCCTGGGTGGTGAAAGGTGTGAGGAACGGCCAAAGTTGGTCTGTAGAAAGCGAACAGGTTCAACCGGCGTGGGTTAGGAATGTGAGGAGGTGTAATATCTCGGTGTTGGTTAAAGACAGGTGATGCTGTGGCAAAATACACCCGTGATCTGGCCGTTGATACGAGCGTTAAAGAATTGTGAGTTCCTGTTTTCCCAGCGCAGAAGTAGCCAGGGAGCCTCGCAATAACTGTTTGCTCTTGGGAAGAGGGGCTGTTCCTGACCAGTAGCTGAAGTGTCTGTGAAGGGGCGTCTTGAAGCCTTGGGTGGGTAGAGCCGGTGCTGCTGGGGGAGAAAAAGAGTTTTAAAGCATTATGCGCTTTTTTCAGCCTGGAAAGGTCAAGAAGTAAAACAATTCTGTAATTGTGAAGCAGCGAAACCGATCTCTTGGGAGTTCCAAACAGAGAAGATAGTCTTTGCAACAATTAATAAATGGCAGGCTTCCCCACCCCCTGGTTTGTTTTTTTTTTTTTTTTTTCCCCCAAATCTGTTCTCAAAGTCTGTAAAAACTGTCCAAGTAAACACTTTGGCAATCAAGAAACATTTCTGAAATTTAGTATTGGTAGGTCTGATTTTGGAATAAAGCACTTTAAAGTCCAGTGGCTCTAAACTGAGACTCAAAATCAACCAAACTCTAGTTTAAATTAATTAAAAATTAACTATGTAGATTTTTTTTTTCTCAATGCATGTTTTAACTCTGACAAATAGGACGAAAATGTACGTTATTTTAATTGCACAACCTAAAAACATATGAAGTGAGTCATCAGTAGCTGGAATCGATAGACTGCGTTCTATTGATTGTGTAAGGGTGATGGACCTTCATTTATAACTGTAAATTAAACCTATTAAAGATGCTGCACTACTGATTGTGTGCCATCTTAACGTGAAATATCAGCTGTGAGAAGCATCTTGTACATTACTCCCCAGATTTCTGAGAAATGAATATCTAAGGCAAAAGCGTGGAAATAAGCTCAAATGAAAACGTGTTCTGATGGAGGCATTTTCTCAGTGCATTGATCTGTTTACATGGTGGTGAAATATCTTTTGTGAAAATTGACGGCAAATAGTTGAGACCATAATAAATCCATTCGTTTTTTGCTGACAGTGTAAATTTCAGGTTGCTTGGTAACATGAATTTGTTGATGTCATATTAAAAATCTTGATTTTTATTTTTGCATGCAACCCAAATTTTCTATTCACACGATGGCTTTTAAAATGGTGTCGTGGTATGTTCGTTGGCATACACACACAGACACACACACTAGATATTTTTTTATATATATAACAACGTGATGTAGACACGAGACTTTCTTACAGGTCAGAATTTTTGTTTTCACCTAGTTTAAAAATGGGACGTCGTTCCTCGGACACGGAAGAGGAGAACAGAAGCAGAAGGAAGAAGAAACACCGCAGGCGTTCGTCTTCAAGTAGCTCCTCAGACAGCAGAACCTACAGCCGTAAAAAATCTGGAAGGAAATCGAGGTCAAGGTCGCGGTCTCGAGATCTCCAGTCTCGTTCACATTCTTATGAGAAAAGGTGCATTTGTAGTAATTTACTGTCTGTTGCAGTTGCTTGTGAGTCGAGCTCTTGTCGTATCGTGGCAGAAAGCTAGAAGTGTTTGAATCCACTGTGTAGTCAGTTCTAGGTTGGATTTTTATAGCAAAGGGAAGCTGTGGCAAGATTTTCACTTACATTTGAAGAAAAAACCCAAACTACCACCACCAAAAAACCCAAACCACCTTCCACCCGCTCCAGGAATACAAACCCAGTGTACGTACAGACCCAAAGGTAACTTCCTTATGGAAACAGCCAAAAAAAGGCCAACTAAAATAACTCTTCCTTTTTCCTCCTGCTACATAATGGATTTAGGATCTCTTTTTGGGCAGACAACAGTTCATACCAGTTGGTGAAGTAGTTTAATTAGACTAGTTATAGGCTGTTTTGTAGGTAGGTAACCAGGTAGATCTGTCCAGACAGCGAGGTAGCCTTTTTCCATCAAAAGACTGAGGGGGGTTCTACAGCAGGTCTGTCCAGCTGCTGCAACAGCTGGTTTTCACCGTTATTCTTGCTGGTTTTTAAGTGTGCAGAATGCAGTGGTCAGCCAGGTGTTCAGAACACAGATCACATGGTGATATCTCCCGAATTTTTCTTGACCTAACCCTGTATTTCCTTCATCAGAGGCCCCTTTCAGTACCTGCCCAGATCAGGTACGCTGTCCTGGTGGTCTCCCAGTCTGGCTGGAGCCAAACTGGACAAGTGGTGGTCAATTTATTACTAAGTGGAGCTGGAAAATCCTCGCTGTGTCTAGCTGCCCTGTAAATATGTTAGACACTGCTCCTGAGAAACCTTTCATGAGTGGGCAGAAGAGTGTGTCCATGAGGGGCAAGTTGGCTGGTTGTGGGGGGTTTCTTGTTTGTTTATTTCTTATTTGTTTATTTCTTATTATTTCTTATTTGTTTATTTCTTCTTTCTTTCTTTCTTATTTCCATCCCCCCTTTCTTCTGTCTCTGCTTAGCATCTACATGCAGCCCTTAGGGGACACGATGAGATGACATGGGCTTCGATGCCAACAATATGCTGATGACATGCAGCTTTATGAATCTCTTTAGTCCAGTGCAGGCATGGCTATCTCGCAGATAAAAACGGAGCTTGAAGGGAGATTAGAGTCTGGACGAAGACCAGTTGACTTCAATTGAATCCAGAAAAGACGGAAGTGTCTGCTTTTAGGATCTGGCTGGCACCTTTGCTTTGCCCTTAGTTTAGGGCATTTGCTCCTGGCAGTTAAGTCACTGTTACATGCTGGAGTCCTGCTGGATTTATTCCTGGCCCTGAAGAATCAAAAGCAGCAGTTTCTTTAGGTTGCTGTTCCTCACCTTCGTTTAGCAGGAACATTGCATTCCTTTTTCAGACCTACCCTATAGATCTTTTCCAGTGGCACCACTTGTGCGTCACACAGCACCTTTGCCCTTGTGCTAGACGGACACGCGTCACATTGGCCACATCCTGAGTTACAGAAGGGTTTCTACATGGCGTTAGGTTTTAATATTAATCAAACGTAATAAAGGCCAAAAATACGGAGGCTCTTACGAGGATTGTAATTGTTATTTAGTTAGCTGTTAGGGAGATGGAAAGGTTAAGACTTGGAAGGTATCCCTGCCCCCCAGTTTTAGGGTTAGTTGATTTAATTTATGTATTTAGTATCTATTCTTTCACCTTTCTCCTTTGTGTATCAGAATTTATTCTTTGAGTAAATGAAACGAGGAGGCTGGGTGGGAGAGGGAAAGGAAGATACCTTTCTGACTCCTGACTGAACTCGGGAGAAAACTCCCAAGTTCAAATGGAATAAATTAACACTGATTGTTTGATTACTGGTAGTACTAGAAGAAAAAAGGAGGGGGGAGGGTCTGATGCATGGGAGCAGAACAAAGCTTGTGTGTTACAGAAGTTGAGAGAACAAATCTGTAAGGCTATGTAGACACATAAAACGTTTTTAGATGTGCCTAATTTAAAATACATTGTTATGTTTACGTTTTGTGTACGTACATTGTATGACTGGAAATAATTTATAGAGTAGCAATGCAGAAGTTAATGTTTTAGCATTTCGTTGTTAGCGCTGGAGTTATAGTCCTTATCCCATACCCTAAATCCTGCTGGGAATGGGGGTTCTAAGTGTTTCCTCAACCTTAGGTTTGGCAAAGAGGCAGAGAGTTCCAGTGAGCTGGTCAGGGGACTACAAGCCGTTGAGAGCTGGGTTGTCTTCCTGGCTTTGCCCTTGAGGTGTTGCATGACTTTAGGCAAATTGGTTAAATTTGTTTCCTCTGTTCCTCCCTCTACCCTTTTTCTGCCTGGGGATGTATATTTTAGAGTATAAGCTCTTTAAGACAGGCACTGCCCACGTGTGTGTGAATGAATTACTACAGAGCAGTACTGGTCTTTAAGGCTTCTACAACATGACACAAAAAATGCAGGTTTGTATGTCCCTTTTCAGTAAACTGGTAGGGGTTTTGGTCCTAATTTGTTGGGTTTTTTTGTTTGGTTTTGTTGGGATTTTTAGCGTGCTAATAGCATGGTTCTGTTTTAGACGCAGACACAGATCGAGCAGCAGTTCGTCCTATGGTTCTAGAAGAAAACGCAGTCGTAGCCGATCAAGGGGCAGAGGCAAATCCTACAGGTCTCAAAGATCGAGATCAAAAAGTAGAACCAGAAGGTAAGACTCTTTTTTTTTTCTAGAAAAAAAGAATTATTATTTCTACTGGAAAAATGTTCATTTAAGATCTCCCAATAGTTACTGAGTTTGGAATATACTAGAAATAATGGTTGCAAGTGATTGTCTAGACTCCGTGTGCTTGAAACTCTTCCCAGTTTGAGATCTCGATGCTGTGCTTTTGATGGACTAAATCTTTACATGGCACCGGTAGGACAGTTGGTTTTGAAGATAAGTTACGTATTTTGCATTTGACCAAGTGCAAAACCCATTGATGTCACCTGGGTTTAGCTGTAATCACCTGAAAACTTTGTGTGGATTGTTTTTGGTCAGTGATTTCCGTAACTCCCGCGCACAACAGTGGTTCCCTGAAGATCAGACTAAACTGTCATTTTCTCATCAGTATTTCCCTTGGAAAGAGATGAGTATTTAGTTATGCAAATTTTTCTTAGTATTTAAAGATACCTACGGTGCTGAAATTTTTCATAAATTGGATGGTGACAAATGAATATTTTCAATAATAAATGCAATTTAAATATTGAAATTTTAGTCAGATAGTGCAAATTGCATTCTAAACTCTGCTTCATGCTTTTGTAATTAAAAGAAGCTCGATTTTTTTTTTTTTTAATGCGTGTCTATTTTTCAATCAAAAAAGTTTAAATAAAGTTTATCCCTGGATATCATAATTACTGTTAGCATTTTTCTGTTGAATTTAAATTCATTACGGAGTGTGTCAGGCAAATGAAAGCTTTTTTTGGTACATGTTTACAGATCTTCAGACAGGTAATTTTGTGTACCTGCAGTAAGAATTCAGTTAAAGACGTTATTTTCATATAGCGAATCAGTAGAGCTGTTGCCTCTAAATGTTGAAAAATTGTTGTTGAAAGACGTGAACGTTTCACTTTCTCGTGTGCGTGTTTCTCTCATGACTTATTCACAGCTGTTCATTATAATAGTTGCCTGGACACTTATTGCTACAGTGCCTTTGTAGTAGCAATTTGGTTATTTAAACTGTCTGGTCTCTCTGAACCTACTTTCCATCTGAGCTGTAGACCCCAGATAAGCTACTGCGCGGTGTGTGGAAACGCTCCTGCAAATATCCACTGGGTTTGCTAACAAAATCAGTTTTAAAACAATGAAGTGCCAACAGAATGTGGTGAAAATGAAGGTGCTTTTCAGTATGTCAGATGCTCAGCATTAGGAAATAGGATAACTTGATTTAAAGATCTCAGTTTTATTGTAATAGGTATGAAGTGCAGATCTCATTAGGCGTGGTCTAATGGTCGTTTTTCCAAGGGGTTCACTGATGTTAATTGTCATTGCAATATATGGGAATTATGCACCTAAAAACTTTAAAAAGACGGCTGCTGTTTATTTCACGTTGTGCTAGGGAATATTGTGGATAAAATATTTTAGGTATAAGATGTACTAGCTTTTCAGTGCTGTAGCTGTAGCTGCGTGTCGCTTTAAATGATGATACTATTCACAGACGTAGCTCTTCAGGGAAAATATTTATAAATAATAGAATATAAAATTATATATAATATAATGTAACATTATATATAATGTAATATAAATGTAATATAAAATGAGACCAGGAGGGTCTTTTGGCATCTCAAAAGCATCAGCCTAAAACCAACAGGACACACTGAATCCTTTATTGTAATTTTTCCAAGTCTGCTCTCTGCTGTAGCGTGGATTAAGCTTCTCGCTGGAGAAGAGTTAAATAGGTTGCAGAAAGCTGCTGCTAGAGGCCTGTCTTTCCCCTGTTTGTTAGCGCCGAGGCAGTTGCAGCGATGCTAAATAGTGCCTTTCTTTGCTGTCTCCAAATCTGGCTTGTGCAGTCGATCGAAGGTACGGACAGCTTTCCTGAGAGGACTGAGCACGTTATGATTCTTCAGGCTGGAAAAGAGGTCGTGGGGGAAAGAGGGAATATGATGGAGGGGTATTGAGAAAAAAAAAAAAAAGAAAGAAAAGATTAAGGAATGAGTGTTTCCTGCCTCCTCCAATGTAAGAGCTGGGGCAGGCATCAGGTGAACCAAGTCAGCTGGTGGCGAGTCCTAGTCAAAAGAAAGGTGATGGTTCTTGCGTGCCCCGTAATTAAGCTGTGGGAGCCCTTGCTGTTGGAGGGTGTGGATACCAGGAGTTGAAATGAATTAAAAAAGCAGTCAGACAAGAAAAATCCATTCAAAGCTGTTAAAAGCGAAGAGACAATGTTTGTTCTTGGGAAATGTGTGTGTTTGAGGCGCTGAAGGGGAATTTTCATAAGAATTTGGCACCTGTAATTCATTAACCTTTTTGCCTGAGGTGAGGCAACTTGTTTTCATGGAACTTCTAAAGGTAAGGACTGAAGAAAACATGTAAACTAGCTAATAAACTGCTCAGAGGTAACGCCAGCAGCCACCCTGTGCTAGGGTAGTGAAGAGCGTGTTACCCGCTGAAGGATTCTTGTTGATCTCCACCTTCTGCCTTGCCGGTGGCAGGGACTAAAATCTACGGACTCTACTGGGAAGCAGCAATATGAGCTACAGCGGAGAAGTGAAGATCACCTCTCTGCACCTTGTGTTTGTAACGTTGCTGTTGTACATTGAGCACCACCCTTAGGACTTGAGCAACTGGGATTTTTTAAAAGGTTTTTAAAAAAAAAAATTTTTTTTTTTTTTTTAAATCCCGATGGGAATGGGGCTGACACTAGGAAACTGTTTTTATATTGGATCCATTCCATGGTATCTTTAAATCACTGGATTTGTTTTTGGTATAAGTCATGCACATGTCACAAATTCTGGGTTCCATAATGTCTTTTCTCCCCATCAAGAGAGTTTGTTCTTCAAGGTAGTGAAAATGTTGGTGAAAGTCCACGTGGCTGTAATGTATTTTTTAATACCTTCTCTACCATAGGTGTTGGATTGGAGTGGATGATTTGCAGAGCTCCAACTGTGTAAAATACTGAAATACCAAGTTTTAATTTGAAAAGTTAGATTTTGATAATGAGACGTTTTAAAAATATTTTGAGTAGGTTTGTAACCTAAAATGATTTTTTTTTTTGGTACTTTATTGTAGAAGATGGGAAAACTTGTATGTATTATAACTATTTTATTTTAGAGGCATTTTTTAGAGTCAAAAAAGTGGGGCTTGCTAGTAATGCTATAAATTTAAAGCTGTCCTACAGCAAGATAGTACAATGCAAATATGACTTAATAAGATCACAAACTGAATTTCAGCAAAACAACCAAGATTTACATTAAATTAGGAATTTTAAAACCGATTTAGTTTGTTTTACTGAGCATTTGCTTAATAACATTTCGCCTTCCTGCAATCTTTTTAAAGACAATAATTCGTCTGTGAAATGCAGGCACATCCTCAGTGGAAAAATTGAAAGCAACAGCTCACTTTCTGAAACCACACATATAGTGATATAAAGAAATATTTCAGCTCTACGGAATTTAATAAATCATCCCATTTCCTAATTTGATCATATTAGATGCTGATGTGGAAGAAGCATTTCAAATACCATCTCCTCATTAATATACATCAGTCTGGGGAATAGGATGGAATACTTATGCAGAGATGTCACAGTTACTGTTTCTTAGTTTACTAAGTGGAACAGGTTGATGTGATACCGGGTGCTATTTGTCAATGTCTCGCTAAAATGGTTTGGGTCGAGTTATGGAGTCCAGAAAGACGGCGGCTGATAAATCAAAAGTGGATTGAGTGGACAGGAGGCAGTGATTGATACCGTGACAGGATATGAAGAAAGGAATCTTGATACAAGCATGCATGATATTGAATATGAGAAGGAAAATGGCCCTGGAGTATGGATATTATTCAAGGAAATGAGAATAATAATATCATCTTGAAATTATTGCTGGGTGAAGATTAGGATAGTTCTTATTAGAATATTATGCTTCTGTGGAGTGGGGAAACTCGGGATTTCATATAATTTCGATGTGGATAGAGTCTTGTTAATATTTTGAGAGTTTTTCCCTGCAATTGTTCTGCAAGTTAATTGTATATGAAAATACTCACTTTACATCGGGACTTGTAAATCTTCTAATTCATGCAGCTTTAAGTAGAATTAACCAAAATATGTTGACCTTTATTCCTTGATTTTGTACAGTTCTGCGATGATGGAGTATTTCACTATAATTGCCTTTAAGTCTGTTTCTATTGTCTGCCAAGTGCTTTTGGCGTTTCCCTTTACGTTAAACTGAAAAGTGCTGCCTTGAAATATCTTCAACGCAGCTCAACTTAGATTGGCACATGCTGGAACATCTGTACGTGTCTGAGAAGAGGAAATAGCGTGTGTAAAGCAGCCCCGCTTGTAGAACGGAGCCTCTGGATGTCGGTGAAGGAAGTGTTTGATCAGTGCGGAGGGGTTTTTTCCCCAGTGTGTGTCGGGGGTACCTGGTTACCTCTTCTTTCTTTACCATTCCTCCAGTCTCATTGATTTAATATTGAAATCTGTGCAGCTCATTGCGGTCCTGTGGCAGGGCGACCTACTTCTTGTGGGTGGCTTTGGAATAGACTTGGGTTCGGGTATCAAAAAGCACCTTGTTGACTGAAGTTGCCATTATCCTAGCTGTGTAAACTAGAATTAACTTGTGTTCAACCTTCATATCTCGCCAGAATTCTTTGTGTTTAGCACTTGTAGTTTGTAACATTTAAAGGTAGAGTCCTCTAGTCATGCAGAGAAGTGCAATTGAAAAGAGTCATTAAATAAATAGTAGTAAAACCCCACTAATTTCTTTAAAACCGTGCTGTGTTGGTACACATACTGAATAGACAGGTTCACAAATTTAGTGCTCTCTAAAATTTGCATTGCCTGGTTTAGGACACACAGTGATGATGGAATTACAGGAAAAGAATTCCCCACCACCTCTTCCTGGCTGCGTTTTCAACACTGCTGCATCAAGCACAAGTACAGCACCAGGCAACGCTTACCCTGCAGGTGGAGATTCTGGCCGTTGGGTTTGAGCTGATCTCAAGAAGGTCGTGGCTTCATT